AGATACTTCGTACAAGAAAGTAAAAATAAAAACAACTTTTTATCGCAAATTAACATCATTCACATTTCATTTCAATACTTCTCAGATTGCGAAATGACGTTACTCTTTGTCTTTACTCATATAGTATTTCAAATATCTCTAACTGGCAAATATCTAATTTCTCACAATAAGGTAAATAAGGTACGAAAATAAAAACCGCAGATTTGAAAAAATATGCAATGTTCTAAGTATAAAACATAATATTATGTGCAATTACAAAAGCAAACAATACGTATTGCAATATTAATGCAGTAATTACTTATCGGCTGCATGTTTGCAATTTTAGCGACTCGAGAAACATTATCAGCATATTAAAACAAAACAAGTAAAGTCTAATTTTAAAATGCAAAACTGATGATTATGCAGTTTACCATTAACACAACAATTCAAATTAAAAATACAAAAACGATGCATTAAACGTTACATATAATATACAATACATTACCTTTGCTTCCTTCATATACACGGTGATTGGTGTTCGCTAAAACAAAATTAGAAATTGCACAAACTCGGCGTCGCTCATAACTTCGACATTTCTTACTAGCCATGGCTACGATCCTCCAAAAGCAGTTGGAACTTTGATACACCATTCAACGTAAGGAAAATAAAAGAGGTTTTTCTCTTTTCTCCGTTTAAAAATAAACCTTTTTAAAAGTAAACAGGAATCAGAAAAAAAGAACAAGGGGCGGAGAGAGAAATATCCAACAACTTTATTGATTCGAATTGCCAAAGGAAAAGGTTACAGAATAATGACTCAATAATAAATGTCAGGATCCCAGAATAAAATCCTTACGCAACAACGAAATTACCGAATTTAGAGTGCACCCAATATTTCACTTTAGCCACTTTAGCCTCAGGGGCGCGAGTTCTCATAGACTCAGCACGGCATCCGCAGTAAAATAAGTCAGTTTCTACGCCTTCAGTGTCTTTTTGCCGAGTGAGAACAAAAGTAAACATTCAGTTTTGTGCACGGAAAATTCTGCCTTCTTGCCCGCTGGCCGCATTGCTTGTTTGCACTGGACTGCATAGAAACTCTAATATTAATTGTAAAATTTGTTTTGTAATTGCTTTAACTGTATTTATGATTTATATTTTTCAGTTTTTAATAAAGATATTTTGAGGTTTTATGCATTTTTGCCTTGTCGCGACGTGAGAATTGTATTAATTAAATGAGAAAGCTATCTCTAATGAAATTCGAGGAAATTGATAAAAGGAAATGCAAGAACAAATGCGCACAATTTAATATTCCGTACAAGGAAAACATATGTTGTACACATCAGCTTTTTTTTTTTTTTTTTGTATGTGTGTGTGTTGCAAATTTTCCAAATTTTGCGAAGATGCTTGTTAAAATAAGATAAATCATAAGATTTCTAAAATGGACATTCCTTTTCTTAAAGTATATCCTTTTCTTAATTCATTGACTTGATTACTAAATTTTTACATTATTTCAGGTAAAAATGCGAAAACGAAACTTCTTTACAGTACTTCCAGCTCTTTAATGGTTTTAAAAGAATGTTTTGATAGCACTGCGACTATAGCTGCTGTATTGCTTTTTATTATCACTGTAGCATCTTTTGCCGAACCAGCTGAAAGTTGTTCTCTAGGATATGAAAATGGTACTCTAATCGCATGTGAAGAAGGTACTGAAAAAGAACCAGAAGCTAAACCTGAAGAAACATTTCCATGGAAAGATATACGCTTACCATCTTTTATAGAACCTGTGCACTATGATTTGTTTATGGATCTTAATCTTGAAACATTTGAAAATTCTGGACAAGTGAATATAACCTTTCAAGTTACAAATGCAACAAATTTTATTGTTTTGCATTCAAAAGACCTTAATTTGTTGCGCATCTTAGTACTTCAGGATAATGAAACAATAATACCTGTTCTTCAGCATTTAGAATATCCGAAGCATCAACAGTTATATATAAAGTTTGATGGAACTTTTATACCAGATCTGAAATATAAACTGCGGATTGATTTTCGTAGACACCTGGAAGAGAGTATGGAGGGATTTTATGTAAGTTCCTATACTACATCAGATGGCGAAAAAAGGTAAACAAATTTTCATTCAATTGTGTTAAATTACATTCCTTACGCATTATTTCCTTGAAACTTTAGAATTTTTTAGCTCCTCACAGTTTTGAACAGTTTCTACTGAAGCACAAAGTATTATTCTATTTTTAAAAGAAATAATAGTTTCTTTGTTTGAAATTAATAAGCTCATTTTGAATTTATGGCAAAGAAAATAAGTACATCTTTCAACTTACATAGTTAAAAATTCTTTAATTGCTGCAGCCTTAATTTAAAGGTAACAGCTCTGAATAAACAAATCACGAGTATTCACTTTTCCTTGATTTCTACATCGTCATTCAAACCCATCCGTACTTTCCTTTTTAACGCATATTATCACTGGACAAACAAAACAAAACCAAAAAAATAGCAATCAAACCAACTTTCAATACATCATCCAATCAAGCCACGTTTCCCTTGCAGTTCCAATAAAGTAATAACTGTAGATGTACACTGCGGGGGATGGAATAACACAGTTCTATATCCCCCGTTCTACTGGGCCGAATGACGAAATTCAAATAGCGTTTTTCCCGTCTCCAAGCGTGATTTAGGATATGGATTAGATTTATATATAGCATTGTTCTAATGCAGATATTTTTAAAAAAATCGGACATTTTCTGAAATGACATGAAATTTTTTTCCATATTGCATGTAAACCTCTTATACACTGTCGCAACTATTATATTATAGAGGAATTGCCTTGCTTTTATTACAATTTACTAATAATTTAGATGCTTTAAGTTTACTACTTCAATTCTGCATCTATAGCGCAGAATGGGTTTAAAAATTTTTTTAATTCTTATTTTTAGCCTATTTATATATATATATGAAATGTAATTTCTCATACATTATTTGTTCTGTGCAGCCGGGGCAACTGGAATGAGACAAATTTTGGAATATAAAGTGGTAGGTTTATTTTAGCATCCATCTCACAAGCGTTCTTTTTGTACCTTGAGCCCTATTTATACATATGTGTGCGTCACGAGGCTCATCCAATCAGCGATATTAATTGAAATCACGAGGTGACGCTATCTTCTCATGAGGAGTGTTCTTAAGGACTTTTATGTAATATGACAGATTTATGAGTTTGGCGATTTGGCGGGCGCCAACAGGTTAATATATTTTATACTAAAGAAAGGATTTCGCCAAAATTTAGGAACAGGGATGCAATTTAGGTAGAGAATCGCCAACACATTATAAACAATATTATTAGAATTTAATTTAATCAATTCATTTAAAAATATCATTATATATATATATATATATACAAAACAATTCTTTTGAAAACTAAATTTGAACGTGCCTAGTATTTTCGCGGAAAAAATTATCATTTAAGACATAAAGTAAGACATTTAGAACTAATATTTCTCAAACACCAAAATTGAAATTCATAATTAATAAATTTCAATAAATGCAACAAAGAATTTTAAAATGTTAAAACCAAAACACTTTAAACCAAGGTCTAAATTTCTTACTTTATATATATATATATATATATATATATATATATGTCATAATATAAGCAAAGAAAAAAACAGAAGACTGTAGATGCGTAGTTATCCTATATTGAAGAGGAAGTAATCTGATTGCGTCGTAAGCTAATGTGTTGACTTCGTAAATAAAACTTGGCAATAGACGCGATTTTACTTCCATTTTTATTTCCAGTTGATATTTGTGGCCACAATCACTTGGCACTAGTCGTGCCTTTCCACACAAGATTTACATTTTTATATATTGTTAAGATAGAAAGCAAGCCAGCGAAATTACATATTATCAGAGTAAAGAGCAAAGCTGAAGTGCGTAGTTATGAAAGATGGAAGCATGCAAAGAGAAAAGTTTCGGTTTGCAATTTGGTGATTGGTCGAGAGGGATCTGCATTAACGGTTACGTAAGATCGCATGATTAATTTGAATGACGCAATGCAGATAAGTTATTACGATTTTAGAATAGAGAGGAAGAATTAATGTTTATAGTTATAATTCTGATTCATATATTTTTATCTTACATATTCCCCCCTTCAAAAAGAAAAAGGCGTAGCGACAGAGAAGCCTTTTTAAAGAGAAAGTTAAAGCACTAGCAAATAAAAAAGAAAAACATAAATCATAAAATTTTGATTCTATAAAAGTATAACTTATAAATATCAATTTTTTTAAATAAATTTTTAATTTTTAGAGTCCTATTGAATTTTTCAGCATTTCAGTCCAAAAGTCTTTTTGTTTGAGAGTTCACATAATCATAATTCTTCAGGGAAGGTTCTTGATATCACAGAATATCACAAAATAAACTTATACATAATTATTGCTTATAATTAAACGTAATGCACATAAATATTTATGATACTTATATCCATACTGATAAATTATAATTTAACATCATAAATAATAGGATTAAGATTTTCAGAATTTACGGTTTCACCTTTATCATCTTTCATTTACAATTCTTCTAAATAAGGCCTCGCAATACTTCTAAACAAACATATCCATCAATAGGACTGTCCTCTTGAGCTAACCAGTGTGTTCTCTGCACTGGTGGCCCAGGGTGCCTACACAGTTACTTGAAAAAGGCCTCCGTTCCTTGCATTAAGGTAACTGGCCTTTGAGAACTGCACTAATACATTCCATAATAAAAATATATAATAATAATATAAAAAAATTACAAACACTCATAAAATGAGAGCCTCCAACATTATCTTGCATGAAGAGGTAAAAGGAACAACTGTACAGAGGTAATAACAAGCCTCTGTTGAAGGAACCAATACTCCCTCGACATACACTATACTTAACATACAATCACCCATAAATTTAACATGCATTTACCATAATTTCATATTACGTATCTGTAATAATTTTACTTATTTTTTACACCTACTTCATTTTTAGAATAATTATAAAATTAGTATTCAAAATTCTCAAGAAAATTTCAAAAACATAAAAACTTATCTTAATATCCTTCCCTATGAATAATTTAAATAGCTTAAAATTAATTACTTAATTTGCTCACACATAATTATGAAAAATTAATGAACAAGAATTTCAGATTTTCTCAAAACAAATTGCAGAAATTTTAAGAAATTTTAACCAAAGTTGAAATGAAAACTATAGAATCCGAAGCACTTTAAATAATTTAGTTCCTGAGCTAGATTCACACGAATGTAATAATTTTTGAGCTGTTGAAAAAGCGGAAGTGCAAATAATTTTCTGTCGCACATACTTGCAAACACCAACTCAGATTGACCTGAACCGCGTAATGCTGAACTCCTAAACGGTAATTCACTGATGATTTCTTTTCACTAGACATTCGAACTTCTCAATTATCGAGAGATCACTTTCAATCTGTAAACACTACGCGTGATTATTTTTCTTTTTGAAGCACTTGCACCACAGCAGAAGAATGATCTGTTATTTTTTAAACACTGAAAAAACAAACTTGATGATTCACTTCTTTCACATTATCTTGGATTTATCACAAAAAGATGATTTGAAGAGCTGAATTAAATTTTCCATTGAGGTTTCAGGCTGCAGGAAACTATCCTTACCGGCTTAATTGTCATAATATAAGCAAAGAAAAAAACAGAAGACTGTAGATGCGTAGTTATCCTATATTGAAGAGGAAGTAATCTGATTGCGTCGTAAGCTAATGTGTTGACTTCGTAAATAAAACTTGGCAGTAGACGCGATTTTACTTCCATTTTTATTTCCAGTTGATATTTGTGGCCACAATCACTTGGCACTAGTCGTGCCTTTCCACACAAGATTTACATTTTTATATATTGTTAAGATAGAAGCAAGCCAGCGAAATTAATATTATCAGAGTAAAGAGCAAAGCTGAAGTGCGTAGTTATGAAAGATGGAAGCATGCAAAGAGAAAAGTTTCGGTTTGCAATTTGGTGATTGGTCGAGAGGGATCTGCATTAACGGTTACGTAAGATCGCATGATTAATTTGAATGACGCAATGCAGATAAGTTATTACGATTTTAGAATAGAGAGGAAGAATTAATGTTTATAGTTATAATTCTGATTCATATATTTTTATCTTACATATATATGCAGGTTGATTCTAAGTTGTTTTTGGAAATTAAGAGGAGTGATAGTACCCATCCAGATGAGCAATAATTACCATAGGACATAGGATCGCATTCCACTCTGAGAGACAGAAATGAGGAAAGTAGAAACGCATCGAGGAAGAATAAGGAGACTATTCTCCTAAAGGACTATCAAGAATTAACCGTACGTTAATTTGCATTGTGAAGAAGCAGAATTTTTCTTTTAATTGGTACCGGAGAAAGCCAATTAGAGCAAAGAGAGTCCTAGAAAACGGCACATCATCATCGCTTCAAGTATTATTACCTTAGTAACATCGTCCGAAACTTTGCGTGAATGCTATGGTGGAGTACACGTACGATAAATTGGCATATATTTACCTCACATACGATGAAGCAAAAAAGAATGGACGCGAAGCACGAAAGTTGTACGAACCAGTAGTTTCCACTCTTCGGATTTCAAGTCATCCAACCTTTTCCAGTGTTGATCGAAGAATGCGAGAAACCAGTTCTTTTGCCATCTCAAAAAGCAATACTGAACATTTGCAAAATTTACGAACGCCAGAAGAGCAAGTTGTCGGCATTTTGAGCCCTTTTCTGTGAGTTTTTCACTAAACAATAAATCTGATTGAGCAACTTTTGGTCTCGTTCATCCGCTTTCTCAATACTCCTGTTTTCTGCATCTCAGAGTGGAATGCGACCCTATGTTCTATGGCAATTATTGCTGGTTTGGATGGTAACTATGACGCCTCTGAATTTGTAAAAAAAAAAATAGAATCGCCCTATATATATATACTTAAGACATACGTTTATATATTTTTACGTAAATTTTATGAATCAATTTATTTATAAAAACTTTATGCTCATAGCCTGCATTAATTTTCCATAGTTTGTTTAATTATAGAGTTCATTTTTATTTTTTCTATCTATTATTATTTATATTCAGAGTATGATGTTTCATATTAAAGCACATTATATCTATGTGTTTTCTTTATGTTATAACATAAGTGTTTTTTCTAGGTATCTTGCAACAACTCAGTTTCAACCAACTGCAGCGCGATCAGCTTTTCCTTGTTTTGATGAGCCTGCTATGAAAGCTACGTTTCAACTGAAAATGGTGCATGATGTTAATTACAGAGCTTATTTTAATTCCGAAATATTACAAATTGCTCCATACTCTGAAGGACGTTCTATATCATCTTTTCAGAAAACTGTTAAAATGAGCACATATTTGGTTGCTTTCATTGTTTGCGATTTTAGAGAACGCGAAATTACAAATCTTGATGGCGTTGATGTAAGTATTTGTAAGATTCATCCTTAATATATTTAAGGAATCCTAATGTATCTTAATGGTCTGATTTTGAAATTAATATGATTTTTCATGCGTGTCCATTTTCGAATGGGCATTTTTTTGACATCAGCGTCTTTTGGGCATACGTATATATAATATTTTACAGTCTAAGTAAAATAAAAGGTCTTTTTCTCTGAAATTTTATATAAATTTTAGGTTAATTCTCTTAATATCAAGCAAATAAAATATGATTAAATTAACAAATTAAGCTGCTCAGTACTTTTAGATTAATTTTAAAAACTTTGAAATAACTAAAGCAAAGTCTTTTTATAATAAATGAGGTGATTTCATTTTAATATTTTTGTAAGTAAATACCTGATCATCGTTTCATAAGTTATATAATTTGTTTATTGTATTACTGTGTCTGGTTGATTTATATTTCCCTGATCTATACATATAAAGAAGAAAGTCTGTATGTTTGTCCTCTAGTAACTCAGTCACTACTAAAGCTGTCGTAGCCAAACTTTCTACGATTCTTTTCTGTGTCCTGGAAAAGATGGACATCCACTTTTTTTTAAAAAAATGTAGCTAAAATTAGATATATTAATAAAAAAAACTCGGAAAAACGATAATTTTCGCCCTCAGTTTCCCAGTCTCACAAGCTGGAGATGAAAATCTGTTTTTTTCGAAAGTTGTTGCCACTGCTCGCTTTCGCAAAAAAGGATTTGCTATGAAATAAAAATAGCATTGCCAAACATTAAATACATTATTCCCAATTTCAAAAAATTGTGGGAAGCCATTTCGACTATTCCCATCTTCGAACGACTTTAATCAGTCGAAATATTAATTAAAAACTCTGAATACGCTAACTTTCACACTCATTTTTTCGAGTTTTCCGAGTGGCAACAATCTCAAGCGTTGGAGATAAAAATGCTGTATTTCGAAAAGTGCTGCTGCTGCTCGCTTTGAAATCGTAGAGTCTGTTAATCAAAAATTTCTAAGTTTTACGAAATCTATGTATATAAAGAAGAATGTGTGTTTGTTTCGCGTTATTGATTTCTGATCAATTATGATAAAATTTTTGGCCACATTTAATCGACTAAAATTGAATCTAGACGAAATATTGGATGGAAGTTGAGCTTTTATGGCCATTTGATTAGAAAGATCAAAATCTTTAAAACCTGTTGCTGGTATAATGAGAGAGAATGAACTTGCTTTCTTATTGAAATTTTTTATGTGGGTTCAATATTGCATCAGATTGAAAAATGTATGACTATGAATCGTATCTTTTGCATCGTTATTAGAGATGGATTACAGCGGTATAGTTCTCTCTGTTGTTAGATGCATTTCATTCAATCTAATTTAACTGGCATCGGATACTTCCGCTAGTATCTTATGTATCTTACTCAAAGTTGTATTATGAAAGGAAGTTCTATTTTATTTTGATCTAAAGATTAAGCGTAGTATGATTTAATAATTAAGCGTGATTTTCTATTAATTGTACGTCTAAGCTTTCGCAAGAAAGCTAGGAATAATATAATCTAGGTATTTTACTTAATTTTCCTTTGCAAATAACATTTCTGTAATAGAGATTGGCTATACATGAACTTAGAAAGTGTTATTTTCTATCTCTTTTTATTAACAGATGTATGTATTAAAAAAAAAAGACACTTTTTTCTGCATTTGCTGAAATGACATTTTAATTATCATGCCATCATAATAAATTTACCATACATATTAAAATGCACATGCTCATGAATTAAAATACCATTAATAAACAGATTAAAAATTTAAACGAAAATATGCAATATTCAGTATTAGTAAATTGCTAGTACTCATTAATATAAATTGCTAGCTATTTGTTATATTCTTTACTTGATTATATATCTGTATCATTTTTCTATTTCAGATTCGAGTACTTGTTCCATCTGAACAATGCGAAGAATCAGAATATGCTTTAGAGCTTGCTGCTGATATTCTTGACTTTTATCAAACTTTCTTCAATATCAGCTACCCTTTATCAAAATTAGGTAATCATTCTAAATTGATATATTGAGATAGAATTCCTAATGCAATTATATTTTCTACATTTTGTAAATAAAATAAAAATGTCAATGCATTTGTTAATAATAATTTATTTATTTGTGTGTAAAGAAGGTTAATCTTCTATAATCGTGGTGAGCGCCAAACTTGGCGAGAGTTTTTAATTTGGCACAATTTTGATTTGGTTGTAGTTTCCGGTTGTATGTTTTCCTGTGGTAAACCTAGAGCTTTATTTCGTGATTATGCGAGTTTAGTGTAGCCAGATCTTTTTTATTTTTATTTATTTATTTTATTTTATTTTTTTTTTTTGTTTAAATTTAATTTTGAAATATTGTGTTTGTTTTTAAAAGTTTTACTGTTTAATATTTGCAAGAGGTTAACCTGTTGTTCGTGGGAGAGTGTTGGATTTCAGATGATGTGAAGTTTATAATTTATGAATGTTTTAATTTTATTTTATTTAGTTAACGCTTTGCGGGTCAGTTAATTAGTTTTTTTAGTTTTTTTTCCTTGCATGTGGCAATAGAAAGATGTGGATGTTAAAAGTTTTGAACGAAAGTTGTTGTGTTGAATTCCACCAGGATAGCAACTTGCATATTTTAGTGAGTTTATGATGCATCTGTTGTTAGTAAATTTGAATATATTTACTTGTTTGACAATTTTGGAGTCCGACGAAAGTGTTATATAATTTATTATTTTATTATTCGTTATATTATTTTATAATGAATTACGTAAATAGGACTAAGGTTTTATTTGCAAAGCTGATGGACTTTGTTTTACTCATCTAGTATTTTGTCATCTCATTTTACTATTCTGTTTAATAATGGCGTTTCACTACTGCAGAACTTAAAAGTTACTATTTTGTTTACGTTTAAAAATGACATCTTAGTGCTCTCATTGCCGCCAAACAAAACGCCAAATTTTGAAGGCCAGACTAGTTTGTCGCCAAATTCCTCTGCTTATGGAAGATAAGCGGTAAAGATCATACGAATACTCTATTCAAGTTTATTTATTTAAAAATGCCAGTCAAATCGTAATACTACGTATAAAATACATATAATGCACGCCATACTAAGCATTATGAAGATGTTCGCATTTATGTCTTTCTCTCGATCCGTCGAAATGTATACAGGCTGTCCACAATTAAATTTCTTCATTCCATGCCATTAGAAATAACCAGGAAGATGTGAAAATTTGTGTTCAGGTAATAAACCCTTATAAAAATATTTAGTGGAAAAACAAATTAGTTTTAAATACCGCTATTAGATGGTGTATTACTGTCAAACACATGTTATTGTTTTCCATCCTACGTAGCACTTACTATAGCATCCTACTATAGAAACCACAAAAATTCGCGAAGAAATTGTTTTCAGTTGGGTTCTACTTTGGTAGACGGTTGCACGGATTTTTGGCGATTTACGTTGGCACAATTGTTGGCGCGATTTTTACAATCGTCAGCCATCTTGAAAAACGCTGTTTTAAAATAGTAAGTATTCGGAAAAAAAAATTTTAAAAAAAAAAATCGTTAAAGTGGATTAATTTTTTTTGAAAATGTCGTTTTTTAAATGGCAGGCAAGTTAAAATAAATAAAAGTGTAATACATTTCTATGAGTATAAAAATAAAGTATTATTACTTTCATAGGAAAAAGAGAATAAAACAACACCGCCATAAAAAAACATTGTGATAAGTTAATTAGATTAAAATATTACGAAATTGAATATCGAATTAAAACCATCATACCAAATTTAAAGAATTAGAATATTATAAATTCAAATACTTTAAAAAAGCTATAGAATATAATTACATTAAAATATATGTGATAATAATTATCTCAGCAATTTTTGAAAATAGGCATTAATTTTTTACAAAATGAAGTAACAATTATAAAATAACAGAAAAATATGTATTTACATTTTTTTGAGTCATTTAACTTGTCGTTTAGATAAGTACCACAAAAAAAATCGGAATAATAATAGATATCAATGAAAAAATTTGAAAAATGCAATATCAAGGGCAAGAATAAAAAATTTTAAAAAAAAATTATAAATAGATAAAGCAATTTAGAGCCAAATTAATGGATCATAAAAATTAAAATAACAAAAAAATTTGGAAAAATAAAAAAACTACAATAATAGATATTGTTTTTAAGATTTCAAAGATCCTTTAATCGCCCCTCTCTGAAGTACAAAGGACAATTTTTTGATTCCGATACCAATAATTCTTGGTACAACATTCATCTTTGAAGGAATTCGAAGATATGAATAAAATTTTAAAATGGCGCGGTAATGCACAAATTTTCAGTAACCAATCAGGGAGCTGATTACAGCTCGTTAATGCACAAATATTCTATAACCAATCAGAGAGCTGATTACATCACGCCTAGAATTTAAATTATTTAAATAATCATACATAATAAAATATTTTTTTTTAAAATGCAAAATTAAACTGTATTTTAATATTTAACAGCCGTAAATTGTTTAAACATTAGATTAAATTTATAGATATTAAAACTAATTACTTTTAAAGTTAGGTGATGTCATTGATTACATCATCCACAACATAAAATTGCATAAAATATCATAAACAATAAAATTTTTATTTGAAATAAAAATGCAAAATTAAATTGATTTTTAATAGTTAGATGCCATAAATAATATTTAAAACGCGGAATTTATGCATAATGAAACGGATCATTTTTTAAATAAAATGATAACAAAGTATCGGTTACCATAAATAACTTATCCAGCAATGGGTTTACCATAAGTCGTATTACTCGCCAAAAGATATATCGCCAAAAAATCACCAAAATCCGTGCAACCATCTACCAAAGTAGCACCTTCAGTTGGGTCGCTAATAAAAAAACAATTTAAAAAGCTGTTTAAAATTTCTTAATATTTTAACATTTTTTTAAAACTTTTAAATACTTGTATTAGATGTACGTATTGTAAATTTATATTAAGGTATTCTCATTTAAATTATTGTAAATTTAAAGAATTTCCTTGATTGTTTACAGTTACAGTTACAGTAACAAGTATATGGGGCACCACGACATCGTCATTGACAAAAATGATATAGCCCGCATATACTAACTAGAGAACTGCACCCCCATCGGCAGATCATTGCCAAGCTTTGGGTCTTTGTTGGATACTATTAAAAGACTGCATTTTGCATAATAGGACAATAGTTATATAAGGTTACATTTCATTTGAGGGCTCATGGTACTTTTGCATAGAAAGATAATTTGACAGAGTACTGAGAATTGGTTATGTAATAAGCCTAGTAATTAAATTAAATCGATAATTTGAAATGCTAACAGAGTACGAAATACAATATGAGAATTCAAAAATACAAAGTACAAAATACAAAAAGCAGTGTGCATTGAGAGAAGCATTGGCAGGGTACTGGGAATTGGTTATGTAAATAAGCATAGTAATAAAATTAAATCCATAATTTGAAATGCTAACAGAGTACGAAATAGAATATGAGAATACAAAAATACAACGTACAAAATACAAAAAGCAGTGTGCATTGAGAGAATTACACATTTATGAGGTTGGTGCTTTGGTATTGTGCATGTTTATGCATATGTAGTCTAGGGTTCAAAGTTCAGTTCGTTGAATTGTGTGCACTAGTAGTTCAAAGGTCAAGATCAAGTCCAGTTCGTTGGGACATGTACACTTTTGTTTTGTGGTTTGATTTATGGGTTCACAGTCGGTTCATTCGTATTTTAGATGTGTATTGCAGAAACTGAAGGCACTCTCTTGGATGAATGACTTCATTCTTTTTACTAGCTGGCGATGTCTCTGTGGTCTTGAAAGTAGTAGTTTCACTTTTATGGCTGGCATAGTCAAGTCCGTACTGATGGAGCTTGTCGATTATTGGCTTAATATTGCTGTGGATGTTTTGATGCTTAATGAGGAATCTTTTTCAAATTCTATTTCGATGTTGGTAGGATGCTTGATAGGATGGCTGTATGTCAGCGGACATTGAAACAGGTAAGCATCCTCCCAACATCGAAATAGAATTTATGGGTTCATGGTACTTTTGCGTCACCCCTTTCGCACAGACATGGTACTTTTTCATTACCCCCTTTCGCCACAGACACACATGTCCGTTGTTGACAGATTTCTCTCGTAGAAGTATGTGGGGAAGGGGCCGTGTCCTGTGATGTAACGGGTCAGGAAAGTAGGGAATAATGGTGCATGCTTCGTCTACTTTTTGAAGGAAGCTATATGTTCTTCGTCCTTGCGGACCGTCTCGCCGTTGGCCCTGCCATTTTTCTAGTGCCACCGGTTTAATCTTGTATTTGAGGTCCGATTGTGGCCATGGAATTTGAATGCTGTCACCTTCTTGCTTTGTTGCTGCATCTTTTGCGAGGGCGTCCGCTCTCTCGTTTCCCTCGCAGTCGTTATGACCCTTGGTCCATGAGAGAACGAACTTCCTGTTGTTGTTTCTAATGACGTTTTGAATCGCATGAGCGATGGGAGAATTAGGGCACTGGCTTGTGATTGAGAAGATCGGATGCTTGACTGTCTGTTATGATATGTATAGTATCTGTTGAAGGCTCTGAGGAGGATGTTGATGCTATTGAGAATGGCAGTAAGTTCAGCTTGATGTACGCTGTTGCGTTCTCTCAAATGACCTTGTCATTCACTGTACAATCCTGTTGCTGTTCTGATGGTCGCAGCGCATCCAACTTTGTTACTGATTTTGGAGCCATCTGTGTAGGCATGATAATGTGTTGAAGGTGGTGGATCTTTTAGGTTGCAAACTAGATTGCTGAGTCCATCTGTAGGGTGTGTAAGAAATTTCTTAGATTTTGTTTCGTAATCTGTGGGGAGAAAAAGTACATACTGGAACTTGTGAACGTGTCTGGTTTCTGTAGCTGGAGGACGGTTGCGATTGCTGCGTCAACTTCTGCTTGGTTGGGCAGTGGAAGAACTTCTGCCAAAATTTGTAGTGCATTTGTAGACGTAGTGTTAAAGGCTCTTGTAAGGTTGATTAAGAAGGGTCGTTGTACTGAATTTAGAACTCTTATTTTTCTGGATGTTATCAGAATTGCAACATATTGCAGCATCATAAATGATGATTTTATTAACAACCGTCTTTAGTAGGATCTTCATAATGTGCTTGTTTAGTCTCACGCGTAGCCTCTCATAATTTTGAGAGCTTTGGCTATTTTTGCAGGTTGCGATCTTTTTATCTTGAAGGTGCTGAATCCAGGTAAGCTTTTGATCTATTGTTAGACGGAGGTATTTGATGGCTTTCACCATTTTATTTTATTATTTTCAATTTTGATGATGGGATTGCGGGTGATGGTGCGTCCTGGTTTATGGAAAGTTATGACCTAGGATTTGTTTTGAGAAACTTGCAGCTTGATCTGTTTGCATAATGTGTTGAAAATGTCCAGCGTTTGGTTAGCGTTTGGCTTGATTATTTACAATTCATCCGGATGTAATTCAAGAATTTGGTTCTGTTGATAATTATATCGGCTGTTCTTTACAGGAGGCTAAAGAAATTATCAACTGCGGTTTAATATTTAGTGAATATTGTTTCAATTTTGTATTCAGCTTTTGTGTTCAAAATTTTTGTTTCTATTGTTTTTAAATAAACTTTACTGTAAGATATATAGTCGTAATTTAATTGATAATAACTATATATATCTTTCTTAATTAATTCATTTTGCGTGATATTAATGGTCTTTAATAATTAAATTTTCTTCAGTTTCTGTTCTGAATATATATATATGTATTCCCTTTCTATCGTAAAAATAGTAATTGTTTATAATAACATTTTCGTCATTTCAAAATTAATCTATCTAATACGATCCTTGCATAGCATTAATGACGCTTCATAAACACTTATGCCAATAACAATTTCAGAAAGTTATTAAATAGTCAACCAAAGCCAAGCTAAACTAAAACCAAATTACTCCGAGCCATGATTTCGTCTTGAACACATCGCATTTTTTTCTCCTGCTTTGCTACTGCCACTGGTTTTGCTTTGCTGCTACTGCCACTACTTGCTGCTGGCTGCTGTTATTTCTTTCTTTGGAATATAATTCAAAATTCTATACTTTACCAATGTATTTTTAAGAATAAGCGCTTCTGGAGTCGCTTTATCTGAGTTGGTTTAAAAGTATTTGTCAAATGGAATAAAAGGAATATTAAAATCAACACCATGATTACAAAGTATATCTTTTGTCTACAAGCCACTCTACCTGGCTTCCAAATTATTTAGTATTATTCATATTCATATTATTATTATATTGTAACTTAAAGCTATGAAATTTTCATTACCCTTTGTGTGATTACAATATTACATGATTTGTTTAGGTAATGCAGCATACTGCATAATGTAATTTCATTAACTGTGAAGTATATAATGATAGCTCTTGACTGATGTAAACGTTTCAGCAATTTTCTTTTAGTTTTACTTTTGTGAAATTTTCCAGGACAAATAAATTGCTATTTAATCAGCTGCTGCATGATAACTAAAGACTTTTGTTTTTAAAAATTAGATATGGCAGCTATTCCTGATTTTGCTTATGGGGCCATGGAGAATTGGGGCCTTGTATCGTTTCGCTTAGTAGCTATTTTGTACAGTCCTTCAGAAACATCAGCTAATAACCAAGGAATCGTGGCTTCTGTTATATCTCATGAATTAGCTCATCAGGTTTGTTGCTTAAAATTGTATTTTATGAATTGTTTAGTAAAAATGCACAAATAACCAACGATAATTCTACAACTTTTAAGAATTTTGATTTGGTAGTTGTGACGGAAATAACTTAAGTACATGTTTGTGTTCAAATTAAATACGAAATTTAAATTAGTACTTTAGCGGGAACTGATATATATATCAGCTCCTTATTATTCAGAAGAAATCTTTTAAAACAAAAATGCAGGAAAAAAGTCAATTTTTTTTTAAGTTTAGAATTAGCTTTTAAAAAATTTAGAATTTATTTTTTTTAATTGCATTTTAATAAAACGATGTTACCGATAAACGTAAAATTAGAATATATCAAAAGAAAATAAGAATGATCACCTTATGTTATAATTTTAATTCTGTCTGTGTTAAATCTCTCTAGAACACTTATTATCTATTTCGATTCTTCTTTTTTGAACTGTACGTTCAATATATCTAGTCAGTCAAATAATCATCAGTCACTGTTGAGCGGAACTAAATTTGGTACTTTGCCGTTTCGCCGGCGCAGACGATAAAGTCGCTAATAATGGTACAACTGGTGCCAAATGGAATATCCTCTCTGGTCTGGTAACTTTTTACGCCACATTTTCAAAACAAGTCGCCGCCATTTCTTATCAGATTGATTGCCTCTTTCAGTACTGGCTGTTCGAGAATAGAATTTATTCACACAAATTATTCATGAAATACAAACACTGAATTTAATGGACTGTAGATTTCTGTTATTTTACTTCTGAGAGCAAATATAAAACACATGAGAACTTACATAGTCTTACTTGGATGGACATTCTTGCCATCCACATACATACACTTACTAACTCGAACTACCAGCACACACTCAATCAATGGCCGCTAGCTGTCCACGTTGTTCCGTTTCTGTACTCGTGGCTGCCAAATCACTCTAGTTAAACAATACTCATTCGATCGTGGCGTCACTTCACTTCTGTCTTAACGCTGGCATACAATTACATAGAAATTTTACCAGATAGTTCAATTTCATGCCCTAAGGCCATTCGCGGTAATTAAGTCAATTAAGATGAAATCACGCCGCTCACCTAAAGGCGAAAATATAGAAAAGGCAAAGTCAAGGGTTAAATTCATCACTTCTAATGAGAATGCACTAAAGAAGTAAAACACTGAGGTTTTACACAATTTCTGGATAAGCTATTCGTACGAATTGAAATAATTCTTGCATTTAAACTTGTATTCCAAACTAAGATTTAACTTGAAATTAATGTAAGTAATTACTGGAAGAATTATAGGTTTTTGTAGCGTAGTTTACGTGGGATGAGATCACTTGGGGTCACGTGATACGAACTGCCGACTCAGAATGTTGAACCAAGAAATCATAGTAAATTCTTAAATTAATGCCATTAATTAATGACAATTAATTTACAAATTTATTGTCTTTATTTATTGGCTTCGTACTATTCTGTTTTGAGGGCCGTAAAAAAATTGCAGCGAAAATGTATGCGCAAAAGCGCCAAATCTAGCAAACGCGCCCATTTAACAGCGCGCCAAATCTAGCGTACGCGCTGATTTCAGACTGCGTAAGTTCTGTATTGCTTAAGACGCCATTGAAATACTAGTTTAATTTTTAAATCCTTTTTTTTTTTTTTTTTTTTTTTGATTTTTTTAAATATATCCTATGGATTTAACAATTTGGGAATTGCCCATGACGAAAAGTCGGCAATAGAATTTTGGATAAGTGCAGAATCATCCACTGCTTGACGCGTTTTAAGAACTGCACGTACTCGGTATCCATGTGCACGTCGACCTATTTTCACTTAAAAAAAAATCCTAGAATTGCACAAAAATGACACTGCGCACACCATTGACTTTATCTATGTACACATCGACCTATTTTCACTTAAAAAGTAAAAGAAAATTGACAAAAATACAATTGTTTTTACCCTTGTAAAAAGCGGAAAACAAATAAGTGAGCGAGTCTGCACTTTAACCGAGAATATTTTCAAGAAAAGGCATCATTCATTATAGAAAATTACGTTTGAACAACCAACGAAATGAAATTATGCTTTAGCGATAAGTCGGTAGCGAAATAGCGATACAGGCATCCATTCAGTTATGTTTAGCAATTTTTATATAAATTATAATAAGGATCTGAAATAGTTATTTACTCTTTTGCTTCCATTCAGTCATGTTTTGCCTTTTTCATATAAATTATAATAATAAAAAAGTATTATATGAAATTAACCTTTCATCTAAATTAAAACATCAATCTTAAATAGTTATTTACTATTATACTTCTTTTCTTGCTGCAATTATTTTTGGCAGCATTGGCATCAACAATAGTTTGGCGATTTTTTACGACCCTCGAAACCGAATAGTACCATTGGCTTTTTACAAAATTTTAAACGCTATTAAAATGTTTATGCCTTCAAAAAATAATTCTTAGAACTAACATTTGTTAAAAATTTTTATGTGCATACTGTATGTTGTCGCCAATAAAGTCTGATTGGCGAGATTTGTGCCAACGTAACGGAAAAGTACCCTAAATTTTTATTCTGTTTAAGGCACTTAATAATACTCGTAGTACATAGCTGAGACAAAGAAATTAGAAACGCATATATTCTTTGTGGAAAACAATTGTTGTCCTTTCATTTACGAAGTGTTCCAAAGTAGCTCTTTCATGCTGTCAACCTTAACTTGCTGTCTCCAAAATTGTACTAAAGTTCTTTCTCACTTTCAAAATTTTTCAGATCATTAAATTCTCAAAAAACTCCACTTTTTGCCTATTTATCTCTGCGTAACCATAGGACAATGACAATATAAAATGCTGATAAACTGGCGCTAGAAAACCATTTTCTCATTGATGATATTATAAAGAATTCAAAGACATAACTCTTAGTGATCTTTTCTAAAAATTCGCCATTTTTTTATGTTAAGGCATGTCACAGAAGGCAGCATACAACTATTTAGTTATTAACTAAATTTGCATATGAAACTTTTTCCACCCTTTTGGATTTATAGGGACGCTTCAACCATGCGAAACGCCAAAATCTTGATTCCCTTTTCCAAAAGTGATCGTAGTTAAAAAAAAATTATTCCGACGAAAGAAATTTCTTTAAATGTGATAAATATGAATGTCGAATCAAGGCATGAAAAGAAACCTTATGTCGAAATAATTAAAATTATTGGGAAAAGTCGTACAGACTATAATTAAAAGTATAAGGTAACATGTGCTGAACAAATCTCGTAGCTGTCGTATAAAGAAAGTTAATCATCGTAATATCGAAAGAAAAGTGCTCCGAAATTTACTGAAAATTTTGTGACGGTTATCGTTAAAATAAGTCAAGTCAATCCAGAATGAACTGCGCGTAGAATTCTTCAATCAGCGGTATTTAATGACATTCCCAGCAGAAAAAATCTGATATCATCCCAAAATCTACATAAACGACTATATTTTCCAACTAGTACATGAACAATGTCTTTAAGTTTTGAAAAACAGTGCTATTTACAGATGAAAGTAAGTTCGATGTTTCCAGAACTGATACCTTGAAAAGATCTGGTAACTAAAAATTTAAGAAATGAAACAAGAAAATTTGATACCAAATGTTAAACATGGTGGAGAGAGTACAATGGCTTGGAGCTCAGTGGCAGTGGCTGGAGCAGGTAAATTAATTTTCATACATTGCACAATCGATTCGTGTATCTGAATCTGTTGCAAAATAATAATATCTGAAATCATCTGTTGAAAAACTGGGACTAGTAAGCAGACTAATTCTTTCATCTCGACAATGACCCAAAACATACTGCTTAGACTGTTAGAGAATGGCTGTATAAAACATACGATGAACTTTATCGGCCAATTCTCCAGTTTATTACTGGGAGTATAAATAAGAAATGAAAATACCTGTTTGAAAATAAATACCTCCACCAGTAAGTTATGGTTAAATTTTTCTGATGTAAAAGGTCATAACGTAAAGCTAAATATCTTCTAAAACCTAACCTTGAAATATTAGCGATTTTGTATCAGTATCATATATTTTTGCGCAATATTGTTGACTTTTGGTCCGAATGAGCGTCATTTGCTAGAACTTTTGATTTACTCATTTACTTTGAGGCAATCTGCAGCTGAGGAACATCGATTGCTTGTAGAAGCATATTGTGAGGCTGCCTTATGTAAAAGAAGTGAGTCGTTTCAAAAGTTTAAGAACGGTGAATTTGACGTCGAAGACAAAGAATGGAGCGGAAGGATGAAAGAGTAAGAAGACGCGGGATTGGAAGCATTACTGAATGAAGATTTATGCTAATTGCAAATAGAAATCGCACTTACATTAGTAGTGACTTACCAAGAAATTTCACATCGTTTAAAATCATGAGGAATGATTTAAAAGCAAGGAAATAGGTTCCATATGAACTGAAGCCGAGAAACGTTGAATGCCGATTTTTACACGTGAAATGCTTCTTGCCAAACATAAACAAAAGAGTTTTCGTATTGATAGTCACTGATGATGAAATATGGAATCACTATGATAACCGAAAGAGCAAGAAATCATGGAGAACACATAGCCATGTTTCAACATCGTCAGCCAAGCTAAATATTCATGGGAAAAAATCATACTGTGCATATGGTGGGATCAAATTAAAGACATGTATTATGAGTTGCTCAAACCGAGCAAAACTTTTACTGAGGCTCTTCATTGAACACAACTGATGAGGCGGATACACTCAAAGAAACTGAGCCCACTATTACTCCAGACATGACAATATTTTTCTCCGGCACAATAACGCCGGCCAAAACCTACTCAACACTCAAATAAGAAGTTTCCCCTCTCCCGCTGTATTCACCAGACATTGATCCTTCTGATTAATAGTTGTTCCGATTCATGACGCATGGCCTGCCCAAGCAGCACTTCACATCGTGAGAACATACCAAGAATTCGTTTGATTTGTGGATAGCCTCGAAAGATGAAGCGTTCTTCCGATGCCGTATCCGTATGCTGCCAAAAAGATGGAAAAAAAACTAGTGTCTAACGATGGACAATACTTTAAATAAAACTTAACGTACCTTTTTTTCTCAATAAATGCCCAATTTTTGATAAAAAAACAGTGGGGACTTATTTGTATTCCCGATGTTACAAGCAAAGAAACTCTGAAGATACCAGTCTAACGAGAGCGGTCTGAAATTACACCAGGTACTGTAGAGACATTAGGTTATTTTTTAAAGCAGGAGATGTGAAAATTGAGCAATGCCCTCGCCTGGACTCGAACCTGCACCTCTCGAATACGCGCCGAGTGCGCTAACAGTTACATCATGAAGGCATGCAGAAAGGAGGGAGAAAATATCTTACATATTCCCCCTTTTAAAGGACGACTAGGGATTAGGGCACCCAATTGCTTGATCCTAATGGTCAAGAATTATCGTCCACCACCTTTTAGTTCGGGCGCCACTGTAGAGTCATTAGATTTTTTTTTAAGCAGTAGGTGTGAAAAATGGAAGCTTGTATTCTACCACACTGCTATTGCACTCACTTCTGCTAAGCCCATTTCTTTTTGTCTTTTTAGCTTTATTATTAAGCATAATTTTCTTCGCATTTAATCCATATACAATTCAACAGTAAAATTATAAATATTTTAAAAGCAGAAGAGCAGAATATGTTTAGATTTCTCAATGCAGTGTTAGATGTTGGCATACATTTTTCTACTTTTTTTAGTCTTTTTTTAATTCATCATATGAAGGTTGAGTTTTCCACATAAAATTCAATTCAACAGCAAAATGGCAAAATATTTAAAAACACCATATCTTAAGAATTTTGGGTATACAGTCGTGTGCACTGGAGATAAAAATGTTTTATTCCGTTCAATACTGCCACTGCTCACTTTCAAATCGTTGAGTTTGTTAATAAAACATTCCTTCAAGTTTTACAAAATATGAAATGAACAATACGAAATTCAAAATGCGAACTTCCATTTTCGGGTGAAGGAGAACGTTATTCAAATTTTGGATGGCTCTAGTTACTGCTGTTTTCTCACAATGCGAGGAATATGCATACATACCTGCAGATTCTGCATTATTTATTTAATTTCTTTAAAAATAATACCGAACGATAACATTTGGTGGCAACAATTTGAAAAGTGATACACCCATTTATGACGTAAAATCCAGTTTCGAGAAAAAAAAAATCCCAACGATGCAAAATCCAGTTTCGAGACAAATAGCCCATTTGGCCTAAATCCCTTTTAGGCTACAATTTAAAAATTGAGGGATTTTTCTTAGTGGGGGATTTAAATCAATTAAAAACTCTAAATTTAGCTTAATTTCATAAAGAAATTTAGCAGAGCATTAATGACAACCTGAACACGGAAGCTACACTTGTTATTATGTCACAACTGCTTTTATGTTGTTATTGTACTTTTTTTATTATTGTGTCGCATTTTACTTTTGTTTACATTTGAAAGTGCAAACAAGAGTAAGCTTCGTATTACAGGACTTTAAATTTGTAATGGCTAGAGACACATAATTTACGCAAGTTTGTTTAAAACTTTCGTGATAGTTCATGATAGGATGTTCAAATTTTCTACATTAGACAGTTTTATTAATTACTGTGTTGAATTAATGAAATATATTTGAACATCCCACTGCAATGCATTTATCAACTGGTTTTGTGGATAGTGTTAAAAATTCTAAAAAATAGTTAAATGTTGTCTTCGAATCATCTTTTATAATGACGAATCAGGAGAACAGTTTTGATGATTTCAAATTTTTAGATGAATAAATAGGCTAAGAAAATATTCATCTTGTATTTTGTTAAAAATTTGAAAATAATTCAAAATGATTTTTCATTCTTCTGCTTTTGAAAATGAAAGTATTAAAAATTTATTTGTCTATTAAATTATGGTATTTTATTTTCAGTGGTTTGGTAATCTTGTGACTATGCAGTGGTGGAATGATTTGTGGCTGAATGAAGGGTTTGCAAGTTTTATGCAATATATTGCTTTAGACAGCATCAGATCAGAATGGGATATGGTAAAGTACAGCATAAATAATATTTCTATATTGACTCAAAATCTGCTCCTCCTCTGTTGCTATTTGTGATTATTAAGCAACCTGTTTAAGAGACAAATATATTATACATCTTACTCTTAAAAAAGAAAGGCTTTATCATAATAATTTTCTTGACAAAAATTTGCCAAAAATTATTTTTCTGTGAAGTGCTTATTTGGTAGCTTATTATAATTAGCATAGAAAAATAAACTACATAAAAAACAAAATTTTAAACAGTACATTTATTATCATACCTAAATATCTGTACCAGTTTATAAGTGAAATAGTTACACTATTTTATGGTCATTTTCATCAGTTTATGGCAGGACTTCTAATGAGTGCTAAAATTGTGACTAATGATGCAAATATCAGAAAGAAACAAAACGTAAATTTTATTGTCCAATATACATATATTTGGATATGAATAGCTAATTTGTTTTTACAACTATACATACCAAATCATTTAGAAGATGAGCTTAAATATCCAACAGAATTGTCCTAAACTATACGGAGCATATTTCAGTGATGGATAATAACTAATGAACATCTTCACAGCAGCAATCACGAACAAACTGTAAAGAAACCCAAGTAGATTATGTTAATTTATTTGATTATGGCAAAGCAAACGAGGGTTATCTGACTAAAGAAAGGGATGCTTTCACAGAGGAATTTATAAGAAACTCAAATAATATTTTAACAGCTTTCGCAAGGAAACGGAAAATTTCTAATAACATTTAGCGTATAATATACGTCTTCCACAAACGGAAAGCCAATGTCCTAATAACTACAAATAATAAATATAAAATAGATAAATAAAACTCGCAAATGAATGGATATATGAAAATAAAGATATTGTTGTGTTATCTTTTCTACCCTTTCGTTACGAGAATTGATCGTTTGGGGGTAATAACCATTCTGAAATATCGAAAACCAATTCTGCCTCGCCAAGTATCATCATTTTTTCCCATGTATTTATATGCTCATCTACAATATTATACCAACTAATAATTTACAGTTATCGTTGGATCTAGTAATTTCTGTGAATCCGTAAGTTCTAGTGAGATAAAACAATTAGTTGTAACATGTTAAGCAGGGAAAGAACATACGCATATAAGTCAAAAATATTCATATTTAGTATTTCCTAAAATTTACATAAATGACGGAAAATGACGGAAATTTATTAACAGATTTAAACTTAATTCGAACAAATTGGCAATAGTCATTAAACGTCCTAATTTTAATCCTAACCCAACACCCTTCAGCGAATCCATACTGCGTTACCAATGTCACTCTTTCCCTGCAATTTCTCTGCATTGCTGTAAAATTTTGCCCAGTAGCTGTCCAGAACACAAAGGAATCAAGATTATAAATAACACCAACTGCTTAATGCACTTTACTTTTTTGCCTGCTACTTCCCGAATAAGTCAAATCTCTCGCTTCCCTGTACTTTTTCTAGTACTATTTAAAATGTAAGCTGCATGTATAAAAATTGTAGGGTGCGTTTAGTTAGCGCCCCTAGTGTTAAGCCAATCAAGCGAAAATATATATTTCTGAAAATTGCTTCTATTCAAAATACAAATTAGGTTTTAACCATCAAACCAATAGTGATTTTTCTCTCCAGTGATCAACTGCGAATGAGTTTTTTCCAGACATGACTAAAAATGATGTTTTTTCCATCTTCTCTAGCCAACTCTAAGCTCTGTCAACGTACCAAGAAAATTATTAGATACAAATATGCCCATCTCTGGTACGATATAAATTTCTTAAGAAGGATATTACATCCTAAGTAACATACAAATGATGAGGGCATATAATATTCAAATTCGTGACTGAGGCGTACTTACGTAGGCAAATTATAAAAATTCTTAGTTTTAACCCTCCAGCTGCAGGATCCGTGAATAATGCGTTCACCTTTTATCCTGGTTATATTTTATTCTGATACGCATGGAGCGTAAGTTCCTATCACATCTGTAGAAACTGAGATTCTCACTGCGATCAGTTTCGTGGGAAGAAAAATAATGAAAATATTTTTTAGGCTTTTATAAGAATTTTGAACTTGCTGTCAGAGAGTTTAGTTCGCAGTTTCTACCAAGAAATAGTCTTGACTGATAGTATACAAATACATTGCATTAACCGGCGGGTTCCCTAATCGAAACATATCAATAGCATTAGTTATGATTAGAATCTGAAAAGTCATCTCTCGAAGTAGTAGCATCCGAAGGCATGGATGATTCCCAGGAAAAAAAATCTCCGGATAAGACCCTCTAAACTGGAACATTACACACAGATCTTTCGACCATCGTCATCAGTGGCGTGCCGTCAGTGGACTCCATGGAATAGAAGAACTAGGCTAAACCACTAATATTTTATGCATTAACATTTTCAAGTATATTTCTACTGAAAGTTCTAAAACATTAAAAGAAGTATCATTTTACCTCTTTTGAAACGGCCTGCCACTCGAGTGTAGTCGTGCAAAAATTCGACTGTAGGTGCAAAAGGGAGGATCTCGAATTCCGTTACCTCTATGCCAGGATGGACTAGCTCGCTTTTACCTGTCCCCATGGTTGCCGTAGATACCATGAAAGTAAAAAAAAAAAATAATAAAATGGTTTTATAAAGGAAGCTTTTATTTAAAACTCATTAATGAACTAAAATTAGAAAAATGATTTATCATATATTTTAATAGAACCAAGAGATTAAATAATTCGCTTTACAAAATTCATCTATACTTTTATATCTCAAATAATTAAAGCATGGGCGCCTAAATAACGAAATCAAATCTTTAAATTGCGTTGTCAAAAGTGTGTCGTTATTTTTGTGAATTTACCAAGCGCCTCGTGCTTTTATTATTCGTGATGTAAACTTTTAGGCGAATTTTGTAAACAGAATTATTTAATCTCTTGCTTAAGCTGTATGATAATTATTTTCCCCTTTTAAAAATAAGTTACAGCTTTTTTATTCTGTTTTATCTCTTTTTAAATAATTACCTCCTTTTTGTTAATACTTTTATAAGCTTCCAATGAAACATTTTAATGTATTTGTTTTTTTATTGTTACCTTTTTACTTTCTACGAAGTAAAAGAAGTATTGTAATCACGAAAAATACCGGCTACCATATTTGAACGGAAATATCTATTTTGACCGCTATCGAATGCATTTTAACGATGTTTTTGAGTGACATCTGTATGTAAGGACAGAATAAAGAACTCTTTTTCCCCAAACGAATTATAAAAATGATTTAAAATGAATTAAGAAGAGAAATGTTCGTGGCGTCTCTACGTACGTACGTATGTATGTATATTGCATAACTCAAAATCAAGTAGCCTCAGAACGTTGAAATTTTGTATATAGGACTGCTATGACGTGCAGTTGTGTAACCTCCCTTTCTGGTTGCAATCCGCCGCACCAAAAGTATATAAATGTATATATATAATGTTGTATGATCTTAAATCCATTTAGTGCGAATACAAGTTATTATTACTTGCGCAATTGCTGCAAAGTTAGTTAATAATAATTTATTTCCTAAACAGTATTGATTAATTGATTATATTATCTCCTAAGTTTAATTAAAGTAGAATTATTTTAAAAGTGTGAATCCATACTGGTAAGTTATATTTTGAAAGATGTTTTGAAGTAATTTGAAAGCAAAATGTTAATAATGTTTTAACGGGGACGGGGACTGGAGTTAAATCATCACGAAGAATAAAATTTCAATTGTAAAAGGAAAAATTAAAACATGTAATCATTGTCATTGATCGGAAATTAGTTGACTTTTCAAGGGGAACAAACCAACTCCCGTTCAATGAACAATAATTGATAAAAATACGTAAATACGAAAGTGTTTCGTCTTTACTCGAGTTATAAGTTAAAGCCAAACCGGCAATTCTAGTCAGGCCAAATATTTCCGCGAATAGAAGGAATTATGAACCAATGCTGATACTCAAAGAACTTATTCTTATGAAGCATTTTAGTCAATTCAATTTGGAGTAAAAATCAATTACTGTAGAGAAATCCTATTTAACTCGAGTAAACCGTCCCCGACACTTTCATGTTTATGCATTTGAGTACTATATTATTTGTAGAAATTAAACATTGGAAATTGTCATTATGAAATCGAATTCAAAGTAAAGTTGAAATAAACATAGAAGATTACAAAAAAAAAAGATAAATAATGCAAACTTTGTAAAAACAAATCAAAGACAATATAAAAATAATATAAAAAAAATATATAGAAAATAATATAAATAAGATGAGAATGTACATGAAGATATAAAGGCCAGAAAAGGTATTAAGTAACTTACATTCTTTCTAGTGGGGGAGTTGGCAAAGTGTTCTCTTCGTGTCTGACTCAGAAGTGTAGGGTGTCCGAAAATTCTTAGCGGCAGTAGGGGCTTTGAATAATATCAGTCGGTAAGACTTGGGTGAAGTAATTTATGGTAGTGGGTGGGACTTGGAATTCTTGAGGGATGTATTTGTGGGAGTTCTTATCTGAGAGAGACTGTCTGTTAAGATTTTTTTGAAAAATACTAGTGAATGGAAATTAATTAATTTCTGGCTAATTGTCGTGTCGCAATGATTAAGAATTTAAGAAAGGAAAAAGGCATTTTCACTGTCCAAGAGCTAATGGACAGTCTAAAGGCATGAAATAGGCCCAATTTTTAATAACAGTATAGTAATAGTATATGTCTGAAGACAATTAGCTTTTTACAATATATACAATTGAGTAATTACACTATATACAAATCTTCCAACTGACAGTCATCCAACTTATACCGCCTTCTCAGGTTTAGGAACAAATTATCATATCTCTATCAGTTAAATGATTTAGAGTGAGTATTTAACGCCTGCTCTTTTAAGGCAATGGTTGATAAATTGAATGGATTATGATTATTATTAGATTTTTTAAATGGAATTAGATTATTTTTGAGAATTTTGATAAGGATCAAAATTTCGCGTTGTAAATCTATTGTATCTGTGCATATA